CACTTGTAGAGGCAGCCGTACAATCTACAGCCAGTGAGGGGAGAGGCAGCGAGGCAGCGTAATTTGTATTCCAGTTCTGCTACTGCTCTTCGTGCTTCCAAGAAGCAAGTAAAAATAGCACTCCGTCATTTTGTAAATAATAGCTATCTTCTCACAGGCTCAGGGAGTCACGAGTGCTTAAAAGGGAGATTGTGGGAAGGGGGGGATGTCTGCCTTGAGCCAGGACTAGGAAGATGGGACATGGGGACTCGAAGGGGAGGACAGGGGACTGTGGGTGAAATGGAAACACTGAAGCACCTCAGCAGCAGCAGCTGTTGCTGCTTTACACCTTCTGCAGGCACAGGGGAAACAACTGACCCTGCTGGCATGGGGCTCGGGGTGGCAGGATCTGGCCCTCCACACAGAGCTTATAGGGATGTTTATCGCCTGCACAAGCAGCTAGATCTGGCGTAGCAAATTCTTGGAGGAGAGAAGTAGCTTTTAAAGAGCAGGCAGGTGTAGGGAGTGCCATGGTAACACTGTGGGAAGGGATATTACAGCTTTTGGTTTACATTTGCATTGCAGATCTGCCCAGCTGTGGGGGATTTCTGCAGGCAGGAGGAAGGCAACATTGCCTGACAGGCAGGGATGGGGCTTTGTACTGGGTGGGAGAAGGGGCAGCTCTGATAGACCTGCAGCACCTTGTTCCTGCTCACACACTTGCTCCAGATGGTTTTAGAAACATGGTTGTGCTGAAACTTGGGAATAAGCTGAGCCTAAAAATAGGAAAAGCCCCCAGACAAGGGAATCAGCCTCAAACAAATGGCTTGGGAACATGGCATGCCACTCGGGTCTCTAAATTCTGCCCATGTTCAAACGTTGAACCTAAAAATCTCTTGCTCTTCTAGTTTCATGACTGCTTCAGGGTCTTTTTTTGCTTTCCCCGTCCCCAGGTGGCAGCAGTTTGGGGCACAGTGAGGCTCAGCAGTGTGGCTGGAGGGTGCTTGTGCAGTGTGACTGAGCCCTCCGCTGGGCACCAGTGCCCCAACCTGTGCTGTTCCCTAGGGCAGCCGGAGCTCGGCTCTGGTCGTTGCTCTGCTCCAGCTTCCTACCTAAACCAAGTCTCTCCTTTTTTGTTTCCTCAACTATAAAACAGGACTAGCAGCATCTGCCTGCTACCCCAGCAGGCTTGAAGGCTCAACTCACTTGTGCATGTAAAAAAACTTTGAGTTCACAGGGAAGGATGATGCTAGGAAAGGAAAAATGCCATTTAATGTTCTGCAACAGGTCTAGGGAAAGTGCCTAACCCTCTACAGTACGGTCCTTAATTATTAAATCTTTGGTGAGAACTGGGCAAGACAGCCAAACTGCCTTGTGAAGGTGTCTGCGGATTGAGATGGAGATAAGGATTTCCCTGCCATGTCTCTGAGTGGAGGCAGGAGATGCTCCTCTCAGCTTTCTCTTGCTGCAAAACTAGGTACCGTTTCTTCTTGTTCAGGCTCAGGGTGGGTAGGTGTGAGGGTAAGGAGGGGGGAGGCTGGCTGAGTAGTTCCTGATTTCTCTGGAGAAGAAGGTCTCGCCATACAGAGCTGATGAGTCCAGGCAGGGCTGCAAGCAGTGCAGGTGCCCTTGGGCTGTAGGATCATGAAGGAAGCAAATCTCTGAGGCTGGAGCTCGCTCTGTTCTGCTGGTGTTTTACTTATCTCTGGATTTCCCAGCTCTGCTGAAATCCCTGCTTGCGTAGCAATGATTTAATTTCAGAAATCCCTCTGGATCCCAGCCAAATCCTGCCCTTAGGAGCGCATATTAACATGGAAAGTTCAGTCTGGCTTTTGCCATGAAAGGTGCAGGAAGCCCATTTTTCTAAGTGCCGGGGGACATCAATAAGCCAGCGACTGAGCCAGCGCCCCCAGCTCGTCCCTGCACTGGGCACTGCCTTGCAAGCACAAAGGGGATCCCACCAAGTTTGGTGGATTTGCATGGCCTGGGGGGGTGTCTGCAGTCTGCAAATGAGAGTTACTCTTCAGACCAAGGCTGTAATTATTCATATTAATATATTATTAATATTAATAAATTGCATTTATTAATGCCATTATCTTTGATTGGATTTGCCAGTAAATTGAAGGGGTAGGGAAAGGGGTCTCTGGAGCTCTGTGACAGCCAGCTTACAGCATGATAAGGACATAAAAGGCTCATGTAAAGATAGCAGGATCGTATCAAAAGGTGTTCAAAACTAATTCTGCCTTTTTACCTCCTCATCACTTCCTGAATCCCTTCCCTCGTGCTTGGACCCTGAGGATCACATTGTAAAGCATGGGTCCTTTCATGGTCCCTGTCCCTCTGCCCCCTCAGGTGCAGGGGACAATTCATTCTGCACCTCACAAGGACTGGCTTCACTGGTCATGGGCAGCCGTGGATCCTGATCTGATAACCATGGCTGTAAATTATTTATCTTGGGCAAACTGAATGCCAAGAAGGGAGGAGGGGAGAGGAGACAGAGTTTGTGTTTTCTCTGAAACATAATTAGCTTTCTCTCGCCGCATGTGTTAGCTGAAAGAGCCTCACTTCACTAAATGTTCTTCTCTGCTGTGTATATCATTTGTGGACTTGTTTGGAGGGAGACAGAGAAAATACCCCAAGTGTTTAAGTCTTACAGAAGTAACTCATTTTGTTCAGGATGCTGTCTTGTTGGCTTCTGGGTGTTTCAGAAAGTGTACCGCATCCATATTTCTCTTTAACCTTCTTTTTATCGCATCAAGACGAGATCAAGGGTTACTTATATAGCACAATAATATCAGCCACAGGCTGCGTCAGAAGCTTTCCAGCCATAATAACTAAAGACATGTATACGTATATTTTAGCCATTAAGGAGAAAACCCTGCCAGAATGCATTATCTTATTTTTGGATACAAAACTTAGAAGCACAAAACTAAGCTTCATAGTGCTGCAAAATAACTGTCAGGGGCCAGAAGGATTTCCATTACTGAATTGAGCAATGGGCCATCCAGGCTACTTGCAAAGCTGCTGCGGTGGCCAAAATGGGGTACTACGCATAAAACATGAACTCTTCTTTGGGGCTCTAAATTGGTTCTTTCATTGGGAAAGCAGCTCTGAGCCAGCTAATGCCATACGAAAGGAGCACAATGGCATGATCTATCCCTAAAGTGGTGAGGATTTATGGTAACGTAGTGCTAAACTCAAGGTACCTCATCCATCATTTTTTCAGTACAACCCAGCGGGAAGAGCGTAGACCATGAATCTGGCAAATCACTGTGCCTTGATTTCCCTGCAAAATGGGACAGCAGCAGAGATTTCAGTTAGGAAACATACTGAAATCATAATGAATTCAAGAATGAGAGCTGTATATGCTGTTTGGCACAAATAATACCTGCTGGTGGCTGTGTTCTGCAAAGCACTTTAGTTTATCTTTACCTGAAGGCATGTGATTAAGATTGCCCCTGGGTTTTAGCGCTCAGGACAGGAACTGGGGCTCAGTGGTTTTGCTGGGGTAGTGAGGCTGCTGTTCAGCATCCAAGAGGGCAGCACAGCCTGGGATGCAGGGGAGCATGTGATGCAGGCAAGCAGCAGCTTTGCAAGAGCAGCCTCTCGCCAGGAGCGAGGCACTTAGGAGAACAGCAAACACGATGGCAGTAAAAGGCAATCAGAATATTGATTCTTTTTACATACAGATAAGCCTAAAGCTGTAACAAACCCAGGGTTTCCTAAGACTGGTGGAACATTGCTAGGCTGTTTATCAGGCTGGGAGACACAAAGGGATTTCAGATTAAAAGGAGTTTCAAAGCATCAGGGCTTACCTCTGCATTGAAAACGTGGATCTGTACCACGTTATGTATTGTGTAGCCACATATATTTTGTAAATACACATTGTCTGCCTGTGCGGGACCTATTCATCCTCGGTGTAAGCGTGGAAGGCAGCAGAGCTACATAGAGATGAATTTGCCCAATTACAAGTGATGAAATTGGCCATTGTTCAGGGCACAACAGAGAGCACAATGCCGGCTTGCTGAGGGCTCACCAGGGAGGCACCTGGCAGGAAAAACCACCACATAACAAAACCCAAACCCTTCCCTGTACAAGCAAATTCAGTTCTCTAATTGCTTTTTTCCCTTTTTTTTTGTCCCAGACAGCGTAACTGAAGTCAAGACAGACATTTACGTGACAAGTTTCGGCCCTGTCTCGGACACAGATATGGTAGGTGCCACTGGCTGGTCGCCTCACAGGGGGGGGATGGCTTCTCCTGCAGCTGCAGCAGATGTGTCCCACCCTCGTCCCTGGACAATCTGGGCAAAAGCAGGATTTTCCTAAATGACAAGAACATGAGCAAGCATCCCAGCTGCCTGCCTGGGCACGAATGTGCCTCCTCATCTTCTCGAAGGCCAGGGGGAGCTCAGTGCGGGTGGTAGACAGGGATTATTTCTCAGGTGCATTCGGGCTTTTAGCAACCAGTTAATAATGGCAAATGCAACCTTGGAGGGTCGATGCCTTTGCACCGCTCAAGCACGCTGCAGGCTTTAGGGTCTTTTTCTTTCCTGCAAGTGCAACCTAATGAAATGGAGACATCTTCCCACGGGACCAAGAGCTGTACGTAGCATGCTACACCTATTACATGCCTTGACAAACACCTTCACTGTAGCCAGCTTTCCTTGACCTGACTGTGCGTGGAGGAAGGAGGGTGCTCCCTGGGAAGAGGGGAGGATGCCAGAATCTGGCCTGTTTTGGTGGCAGTGCCAGAAGACAACGGTTCACCATCAAACTGTCCTTAGTGCTTGAACCAGAAGGGAGGCAAAAGAGAAAAAAAGAGAGTGAACTGTTTGCAATATTTTGACAAGCTAATGAAAAGGCCTGAGGTCTGAGTTTAGGCTTGCATTCCCACAACAGTTTGTCTTCTAATTAAAACAGGACTGTGGAGCATAATTAATAGTGAGCTTTCTTAACAGCGTTTCTTGCAGCTCATGTTCCACACGTGCCCAGGCGCATAGAGAAGAGTTGGCTCTTGATGGTTGCTCAACATTTCAAGGGTGCCACATGAAGGACAGTCATGCATTCAGGACTGAGACTCTCCTGTGCATCCAGTCCCAGAGGTGACCTGGTGCTTGGCATAGCTCAGGCCAGTGGTGGGCAGTCCTGGCCTTGGTGGAAGCCTACTTCAGGAGAGGGAGCAGGCATTGCTCTCACCAGCTGGGTCAGGCAGGAGCAATGTCCTGCAGCTCTCGCGGACCCTCTGGAGCTGGGAGGGTTTCATTTTCTGGGCTCACATGGCCATGAACATCTCTTCAGCTGCCCCACCAACAGTCCTGTGCTAGCAAGCAGAGGAGTTGGGGGAGAATAAAATCTCTGTGTTTCACTGAGATGCTAGCCCCATCACGCAACCCCATGTTGCTTTGGAAAGGCTGCTCCCTCCAGGGTTAGAAGTTAACTTGATGTCAGCGTAGCTAAGAGTAGTAATCTCATCTGAGTTCTCTCTCTATCTCACTTGCTTTCCTACCACAGCGAAGACCCATAATATATTCAGCAATCTTAGCCCTTGGGGAGTATCTGATAATTACTTCCAAGGTGGAGCATATTTGAGTAAGGGAGCGTGTATAATGAACTGTGAAGAAGAAATGAGGTATTGAAAAGAGGAAGGTATTCTCTGCAATGTGATTTGACAAAACGAATTTAAAATTAGGAAGACAGTTAAAGAATAATAAATTCTTTCCCCTTCGCATGCTTTAGTTCCATGTATTTTACAAATGCATAGCAAATGTGTTTTAGCATGCCGTTCTGGTGCTAAATGCACTCAGAAATGTGAGAGAGAGAGAAACCCCATCTCCTCGGGAAGTGTGGGGAGAGCCTGCTCTTCTGCGGTGGTTCCTTTCATCTCAGGAGTGGGGAAGTCCCTCCTTCCCCGCTCACATCTGCCTGGTGATCTCACTCCCGTCCCTCCCACAGCCATTACTCATTGCGATGGAAAGCTGCTCCTGTGCATCTTGATGCAGACAGAGACTGTAATTATGATGGTGGAGGAGAAGTAGGTAAAGCTGCTGTGGAGAGTGGAGGAGAGCAGCTGGTTACAAAGCGTGGAGGAGGACGTGTAGACCTTTTCCCTGAGATGCTCCAAGGGACTTCTAATCTCTCTTTCAGTTTGGTTTGGAAAGTAGAGCCTGATAGGACCTGACATATGCCTGAATCTTCGGTAGTGAGCTCTTGCAGCTTTGCCTCAGTCCCCAGGAAATTAAAAAAAAAAAAAAGTTTAAGGGAGTTTTATGCTTTGGTGGATGGACTCCAGAGACAGACTCAGTCTTGATGGTTTTGGTCACTTCTATAAGGCAGTGAAGAGGATAGCATAGAACTAAGTGTGCTCCTTGGAAGGGGTGACTTGGGAATGATGCTTTCATGGAAAGAAGTATAGAAAAGAGGGGAAGAATCTAAACAAGATTTCTCTTTGCTTCGGGAATGATTCCTTAGCATAACAGAAGAAAAACAGGGCCTGGGAAGTTGTTATAAAAGTTTTACTGCTTTGTTTGGTTTTTTAATAGGAACAGGGAGTTCTGAATAAGATAGCTCTTCTCCTGATAAGGACTTTTCCCAAACCTACCTCCTGGGACTGCACACAGGCTCATTCCTTTGGTTTTATCCCTTTACTGAGCTTAAAACAGCAAAGTGAAGATCACTTCCATGAAGGGGCGGAATATCTTGTACAGGGCAGAGCCTGTGGGAACGTAGGATCTTCTCTTTCCTTCCCCCTGCCAGGCTCCAGAAACTTCACGTTCGAGCAGGAATGGCTCTGTGGCCAGGGAGCAGGGATGAATTTCTTTACCAAGATGCTTTCATTCAGCTGCCATCTGCTGCAAAACCTGGAATTTCTATGACCTATAGGAAACTGATGCACAGCAGCTTTTAAATGCTGCTGAGAAGAGCTGCAGAAAAGAAATCACTCACAATGATAAGTTTAGTTGGTCCTGCAGCCTCCAGGAACCTGTAAATAAAGACTATGAATCTGCAATAGCAGGGGAAGAATAGCTGGGACAGACAAATTTTCTGAAGCCCCCTTCTCTCTCTGAAAGCCTTGTGAGCTAATGAGATTAGCAAGAGGAGGTGTGTATTGTAGAGGTGAGCAGTGGTGCAGCTCATGCTGACGGGCTGAAGACTTTCTCTCAAGTGAAATGGACCCTCAGAGGACACGGGGTGGCTCAGGTCACAGGGTACAGCAGTCCCTTATGCCAGGCACTGGGCAGATTGATTTAATTTTGCCTCGGGGTGGCTGTGGAGCCACAGCGCATTTGCTGCTTGGTCAAGTGGTTTCTGAGGCTGCACGCACCAAGTGAGGAGCTGGCCCTGGCTGCAGGGTTTCAAGGAGATGACTTCTAATTATCCCAACTAGAATTTGGCCTAGGAAATGGGTTTCTACACTAGCTGAAAGAAGAAAAAAGAAAAAAAAAATAAGAAAAAAGGAAAAAAATAGGGAAAAAGAAGAAAAAAGAAAAAGTGTCGCAGGACCCTGTAATGCAATTTTGTGAGGTCCTTGATTCAACGCTTTTCTAGAGGTGGCCTGGGGAACAAAATAACATTAAGACAATGTCATGAAACTTTATTTCTTTCTTTTTTTTTTTATGAGCAGGGGTATAATTAGCAGAATCCTGGCCAAATTCCATTTCTAGGAACTTTATTTTTGCCTTTTTAAATTCCCATGTAATTTGGCCTAAATGGGTTTCTACACTAGCTGAAAGAAGAAAAAAGAAAAAAAAAATAAGAAAAAAGGAAAAAAATAGGGAAAAAGAAGAAAAAGAAAAGAGTGTCGCAGGACCCTGTAATGCAATTTTGTGAGGTCCTTGATTCAACGCTTTTCTAGAGGTGGCCTGGGGAACAAAATAACATTAAGACAATGTCATGAAACTTTATTTCTTTCTTTTTTTTTTTATGAGCAGGGGTATAATTAGCAGAATCCTGGCCAAATTCCATTTCTAGGAACTTTATTTTTGCCTTTTTAAATTCCCATGTAGCTGCACACAATGGTTCCCTCCCCTGAAACATCTGGATAAAGGTGGTGGTGCAGCAGGGCTATTCCAGGGCTGGCACTGTAGGCAGTATTGCAGTTTGTCTGCAGTGGTCAGAAACACTGAAACGCAAATTTTGGCGTCATATGTAAGTCATTATACAAAATGTGGTAAATGCCCTCTATCCTCCACAGATTTCTCCACTGCCGTTAATCCCTACTTCTTGTTGCATCATGCTTCATGTCAATCAAGTTGTGCCAAAACACAGTATGCTCAGTGACCGAAGATATTTACCATTTCTTGAAGTAGCTTGTTTGCAATGAAGAGCTGAGTAAAACAAGACTTATTTTTCTCTCCTTTCTCCACAAAGGAATATACTATTGATGTCTTTTTCCGGCAATCCTGGAGAGATGAAAGGCTGAAGTTTGATGGTCCTATGAAAATACTTCCCCTGAACAACTTGCTGGCCAGTAAGATCTGGACTCCTGATACCTTCTTCCACAACGGGAAGAAATCTGTTGCCCATAACATGACAACACCCAACAAGCTGCTGCGTCTGGTGGACAATGGCACCCTCCTGTACACCATGAGGTAAGTTTGTGTCCTCTGGGCCAGGGTCTTCCAGATCCCTATACATATGCAGGCAAGGATGGGACCTCAGGGTACATTACAGCAGGGTTTGTGCAGACTTCCACTGACTCTGTTAGCACAATTGAGTCTTACTCTGCTGCTTTCCCTACTATCCTTGTTTCCTACCTATGTAGCATCACTGATCCTCAACTTAAGCACATTTTTACAGGTAGCTTTTTTCTCATCACTCATGTTGATTTTTTTCTTTTATGTGATGAGGTAGAAGTGTTGGGATCTATTGTTTGTGGAGTTGGTGTGCCGCCCAACTTACTTTTGTTCCTGACCTCTGATGGGTTATGAAGTCAGGTTTCCAGTATTGGTAGGGGAACAGTAGGATGGGAGAATTTATTATTCTCCAGCAGCTTGAGAACAGATCTAAATTTGTTCAGCATGTTACACCAGAGCCGTTTGAAACGTCTAATGAGCCCAAGCTTGCTTGTGAGAACAATGGGTTTTTTTTTCCTACTTCATGGAATTAAAACTCCAAATCTGTGTAATCAATGCATATCATTAGGAAAAAAAATCACCAGCTTATTAAAAACTGTGTTTTGGAGGTGCCAGGTTTGGAGAGGCCACTGGAAGTTCTCAGTTTAACACAGCCCATGTTGTCCCCAGCTGAGCTCTCAGTGGGACTCCCAAACATGAAGTAGCCCTGCAGCATGAGACTCCAAGCAGTGATACAGCCTGTGCAACCCCACTGTGAGCTCCAGCAACTGGGGCCTTCCTTCTAAAACACAAGTCGCTGTTGGGGAACCATGCTTGGGCAGTCATCTTCTCTGGATTTCTCAGGAACAGCCCTGGTACATACATTTATCACTAAGCTGCAACAGGTGGAGAACATGAAGAGAAACACCTTTGGGTTAATTGTACTTTCGTTCCGGAACTATTCAGATATTCCTGTATGCTTGTAAGCTATTCACCCATGTAAATAATGTTTGCCACCTGGGGTTGATGCACTAATTTGCCTTCCAAGGTAAATGCTTATAAATGAAACAACAAGCTACTCATAGATGCACAAGAAAGGTATTGAATTGGTTTTGAAAAGGTGTAAATCTTTGTTTTCAAAAATTATTTTCTCTGCCTCCATCTTCAAGCCAATCCTAACTAATAATAGGCTTCATCATGGACTCTGTGTGCTGAGATGCTGCACTTTCACCTGTTTTTTGAGGACCAGACAGAATTTCATCTCTTCAGAGTTAAGCTGGCTGTGAATCTACATAGTGTCAGCAAGTTTTACAGCTTACATTGATAACTAATGCTCTGGTTTTGTGCAGTAGTTCTCAAATACGAGCTAATCCTGCCAGTGCCCTGGGGGTTTAGGTCTCCACACATCAGTGATCTCACAGTACTGAGGCAGATGGGGTAAATGAAGGGAGAAGCCCAACTTGACTTAAGGGCTCAGTTCCGCTCCCGGCTCTGTGACCTGCATGTGGATGACTAACACTCCCCCCATTTGTATCATTGTCTGATTTTAAAGTACTATAGGAGCTACTGGCATAAGACAGCAAAAAAAGGACTTAATTTCAGGGCTTTTATGTCATTTCATTTCTTCTTTATTCAGCAAACAGCCATTAGCTTCAGCAAGTTTTGTGTGACTGAGAAAGTATTGGATTTACTTTTCCGTTTAGGGCCGGGCAGGTGCCAGGATGGCAGCATTACAAGGCTCTTGAGAGTGAGCTTCTTGAAGAAAATGTGGAGTCATGGGATTTTTTAAATAAATTCAACACATCCTTCAGTTTAGCTGTCTCCCAAAGAAGGGGGTGATGAAGGAGAGTCTGGACCTCCCTTTGCGTCTGCTCCTGCCCCCCTTAAATGTACCTCTAAGGCTTTGCAAGAGGTGAAGAGCCCACTTGGAGATACCCAAAGGTTGAGGGTTGGATATCAGGCCTTTTGTCACGTGTTATATTGCACAGTACCAGGAGCTGTAGTGCATGGAGAGCTTTTCCTTACCCAGCACAGATGGCTGCTGTGCAGATGTGTGTGAAGCTATCCTGGTAGGGCTCCAGGCAGTATTGGACCAGCCTGATGCTGGAGATATGGTTAGAGCTGGCCAGATGGCCATCTGGAAAGCACTGCCCGCTGCACAGGACAGTGTGTCAGGGGCGAAGCAGGGCTCGTCTGGGTTTGCAGTTCAACGCATCCAGGATGGGATGTCTGTCCTGGTGCATCTGATGATTGCCCTTCTTCCTGCTGCTGAAGAAAATGCCTGCTCAGGGCCACACATGGTCTTTTGAGTGGGGGCTCAGAAAGGAAGATGCAAGGGCACAGACTGCATGGTCCAGGACTGTGCATCAAGCTGAGACTCAGAGACCAAATCCTACCTGGCTCTGCCACTTGTAGGCACTCAGACCTCAATTCCCCTGTAAAATGATGATGATGGTATCACCCTCCCTTGTTAAGTGCTTTGAAACCTCCTCCCAGGAAAGGGCTGGAAGGAGACTCATGTTTTATGTCCAAGTGGCACATTCACTGTTCTCCCCCATGCCCAGGGGCATGCACATGTGTCCTTCTCAAAGGAAGAAGCAGGACCACGAAGCCAATCTCAGCCCCACACAGCTGACATCCAGCAAAGTGCAAATCCCAAAAGGGCACGCTCTGTCTTGCTGACTAGGGAGCGAGTTTGGACCTCCACCAGATTTCTCCTGGATTGGCAGGACTGGCCAGGTGATCCCTTGCAGGCTCAGTCTAGACTGGTACATTGCCATGCAGTTTGACTCCTGAGACATATCCTACTCCTTTACCTTGTACCAGTCAATATCCTTGAGGGATCAGCTCTGCTGATGGGCAATTAGAGGCATGTCTCCTGCTATTTATCCTGCTGTGAAAGCCAACTTCTCTTAGTCAAGGCTTACATTTATAGATGAAGTTGCTCTGGTGGAACAGCAACTCTGACACGTGCATCCAACAAAATTACACCTGTGTGACAATATTTATAGCTCCTGGAGAGAGCCTCTCTATCACTGACCCGAGCTTCAAGAAGTCACACACCAGCTGTAGCTGAGCATCCCGAGATTTCCTTTAGTCACGGCACAGCCTCCTTGCGGATCGGTGCAACGTCACGGTGCAAACATCTGATCACTGACTCAGGCAGTGTCACTGGGTGACAAGATGGCCTTTGTGACCGCAGCACAAAATTGCATTTCTCTCTTCCCCTCCTTCTGGCTGCTGAGGAAGGGACAGGATTACTGATCCCTCTGCCTCTTCCCTGCTACATCTTGCTGCCTTAGAGGGCATGGAGAACACAGTTTTATTATGTAGCCCTGCCTCTGCAGTCTTGTTTGTGGAGCTCTTACAAGATCCAAGTAGTTCACAAAAGCCCAGCTAGGGCCTCAAAGCTCTGGTGTCAGACCTGAGTACAACAAACTGGGAATTGTGTGTGGATTTACATAAGGTACAGACAAAAACTCAGCTGCTGCAGCAATCTCTGGATGTACTCTCTGGCTTGAATTGTGCAGGGCACATAGATAATGTTCTGGTTCTTCCTGGCCTTGAAGCATATGAAAATAGTGGAAGCTTAATGCTGTGCTGATGGGATTCAACTTTGTGAATCCAGGCTTTAAAGAGCTCTCCTGCTCTCCACAAGGACTGTCAGAATGGCACATTGAGGCTTTGTGGTTATTGTCAGAGTGGTTCCCAGACAATATGTGCTCAAGTTATGCACTTAAAGGATGTTTTCTTTAACTGCCAGGCTGACACATCCAGCTGCATGCCCAAAGACTTTGCCTCAAGAACCTGTATTGCTAAACACAACGTGAAGTCCTTAGTGGCAGTGCCTGAGCACTTGGGAAGGAGAATTGGTGAACCCCTGGGTGAGGCAGAGGCAGAACTGGAGGGAAAGCTGAGTACAAAGGCACCCAGGACACGTGCAGTCCTACCAGGGCTGTTGAACCCTAGATAACAAGTCCTGTGCCTGCTGTGGCATGCTCAGGGGTTTGGGCTTCCCAGGCTGCTTTTTGAAATCACAGAGCTTCACAGTGTCTCTCCCAGCAAAGGCTTTGGGTTGTCTTTACTGCCTGTTTTTTTTAACCCCCGGGCAACTTGTGAGAGCTGTAGGCTGGAGCTTGCAGAACGCTTCCACATGACGGAGGTGCAACCATCATTCTCCTTTCTGCAAGTGCAGCAGCTGGGATATCCCAGCACCAGCTCCTCTGGGTAGTACGGACTGGCAGCTATTTGGCTGCATCCCACATTAAGGCTGATCCTAAACAAGACCATAAATGGACCCAAGCAGACCAAAGCTAGACTGCTAAACACACAAGCAGACGAATAGATGAGATGAGATTTGCACAGCCTCCTTTTCCCTGCCTTACAGATCCCAGAGTGGATCCAAAGGCAGAAATGATCTGTTTTCCAGGCTTGGTTTTGTGCAGGCAGACTTTTGTAAGGAAGCTGTCCCAGGAGGGAAGAATCTTCGGAGATCACCTTATCTCGCTGCATTTCTGCCATCATGGGTTGAAATCTCCAGGGGCTGGAAGAGGATGCAAAGTGAATTCAGTGCTTTCAGATCCAGCACAAGGATCCTAGAAGCAATTTGGCTTCCAAGCTCAAACCCCAGCAATTAAACCTAACCTAGATTCTCACACAGCCTAAACCATAAACACTATTTGGCCTGACTGTGGTTATTAATGAATCTCCTAGAGGAGAAATCAGGACACAACTCAAGCCATATCCCTGGCATAAACAAAGTCAGTTCTGCTGTGCAGGGTGCTGTCATGTTTTTGTACCACACATACACCAAGGGATTATTTGCGTCCCAGAAATTGGACTGAGACTCTCGCTCATCCTGCAGCACAACGCAGGTAACGACAGGAGCTCTAATGACACATCAAAGGCTTTGCTAAGCTCCTGGTAACCATGAGAACAAAGCTGAAGTGGTTTGTTGTACCGTCAGCCCTGGGAGAGGTATGTTTAGCCTGATTCACGCTTCTTGCCATTGTGCTGAGCAGTTCAAAGGACCTCCCATGACTTTAAAGAGAAAAACATGGTTTCTCTCTTGGATGTTCCACTTCTGGTGCCATTGTGCCAGCAAAGCGAAGAGAAAACATGAGGAGTTTGGGGTTTGATTTCAAAACAGTTCTGCATAAGTTATTGCTAGCGCTTGGGACAGATAAGCCAAAGGATACAACAGCTGGATTATGTGATTGCTGGCAGCTTGGCTATTTTTCACATGCTGTTTAGGCTTTATAATGACATTTCAGGGCTCAGATGTCTGGACCTGAACAGGGCATCAGAGCAATGAAGCAAACCTCTGTGGCTAGCTGGCCATAAGCTCTTTTGCACAGGGTAAGGGGCAAAGATGAGAATTTCTGCAACAGGCTCTTTTACCCAAATGCTGCAGAGGCAGTGGTAATTGTCTGGGAAGTGAGATACATTCCTCTTAGTCTGACATTTTGACGTTTCATTAAGCAAAGCATATGGTGCTGAGGAGTCCTTCGCCAGCAACAGGAGGTGGTGGGGAAGGCCAGCGCAGGGGGGAGTAGAAGGGGAATGTGGGCACTCTCCTGAGTGGTGATTGATTCCACAGCTCACCTAAATACCTCTGCTAATTAGCACTCTGAAAGATGAGTGTGTGCAAGAGAGGCTGCAGGAGGGGGGTGAAAAATGGCCGAGGGATGCAAGGGGCAGAGGGGTGAGCAGGAGCGAGCAGCAGTGCATGCACTCTGGTCATGGGGAAAGCATCTCGGGGAGCCAGCACACCCCAGCATGCTTGGGGGCAAAGCAAAGATGCATCAGGCAAAGGAGAACACCTGGGAGGGGGAATGCTTGTATTGTTTCCCCCTTTGGCAGGGAAGCTGACTCCCTTTGCGTGTTACCTGTGAATGTGCTGACTTCTGGCTGGCTGAAGTTGCTGAACTAGACTCATCTTGCTGGAATGATATGGCATTTTCTTTTTTATTTAATTTCAGGAGACTTAAAAGCTCCTTCAGTTGTAGGTGGAGAAGTGGCAGATTAGGTTGCTTTTTCAGTGGTTTGTTGATGGATTTATTGCGTTGTTGTTTACTGGCTCAGCTAATAAAACACACTTGAGATTTAAAATGTGACTGTTGCATTCCCACACACCTACGGAGTCATCCAGCATCCGTATAAAGTTGTCTCCTTCCCTTGACCACACTTGCTCTTGTTCGCCATGGCCTGGAGAGGGCAGGAGGGTATGGCCAAGGGCAGCTTGTGCCCGGCTGGTCTCTGCTGCCATCCTGGCCCCCTCTGAGGCTCTTTCTGGCTGCTCTAAATGGCACTCAACCACCAGACCTACAATCTGTGGTCCTTTGAGTCATTCAGCCTTATTCACAGTGGCTGTTGATCACAGCCAAGACTTGCAAACAGTACAGTGGATGAAAAAGGCCTTTCAGGTTTTTTGGGGGGAGTTCAGGATACATCAGAAGGAAAGCACTGATCAGAGGAGAGGTTCTCTGGAAAAGCCGACTTTGGAAACACCCAGCTAAGAGCCTTTTGAAATAATAAAGTAATCAATGAAGCCAACGAAGGAATAGGAAGGTAAAGAGGAAGTCTTGTGTGGCCTGCTGAGGGAGACAGGGGAAATGCATCAACATTTCCTTTACACGGGTGACAAATATTAGACACAAAAAGTCCATTGCAGTTGGAAAGGACACAGAAAGAATTGAATGGTAAGATCCGTAAGGACATGTTTGACAAGCTTGCCAACCATGAAGCCCCCTGAGTGAATTTCAAGCTGACAGAAGAAAACATCACAAAAGAAACAGAACAAGAGGAGCAAGACTGTCGAGTCCACACCTTGCTGCCAGGTTTTCATACCTGCTTCTTGAAATGCCAATCTTTATCCAGATTACAAAAGAGAGACATCAGAGAAAATGAGTAATTTGTTCATGGTAGCCTTTGAGTCTCCAGAAGAAAATCATTCCATGTGCTTGTGGGCTTGTCAGAATCACTATCAGTCTTTCCATTGACTTCAGTGAGTCTTGGTTGAAGTCCTAAAGATCAGGTCATCTTCTCTGTCGTGTAAAACAGGTACATTCAGTCCAGAGGTGAAGAAGAGATCAGCAAGTCAGAAAGAGTGATTTGTTTCCAAGGAAGTTACATTGGCCACACAGTGGTTCTTGGATTGGCTGAGGAAGCCAAGGTGGGGCCAGACATAATGGAAGCAGGACAATCATCATCACCTCTTTGTCAGTATAATGATTACTACAGGACATAGTGGTCACTCTCCATGTACATGGATTCAGAAGGGATTGGCAGACTCAGAGTAGGAAAGGTCCCTGGTCTCTGGTGCACTCAATCGCCTGGATACAGCCTCTGAATTATAGAAGCCGTAAGCCACCTGCTGCCGGGAGATGACAGCAACGTGTGGTTTGCTCTGAATTTACCCAGGTTTCATACTTCTTTATAAGTATCCACTGGCCTCCTCTACCGGAGGTGGAGTCAGCCTGCATAGACCCAATAAACCAGCTGTGATTAACCTGGCCAGAGTATGGAGCATTGCATCAGCCACAGTTGGCCTGTGAGCCCTTGGGACCCAACAGTGAATGGTGACTCAATAGCCAGCCCCTCAGGGCTTCACTGCAGGTAGTCCCCATGGGGTGTATGGGGACCATGTCCTGCTGATGCTGAATAGCTAAGAGCTATTTATCAGGACTGAACCTGTCCTGATTGTGGGAGTTGCTTTTGTAGGGTTTGGGTTTTTTTCCCCATGTGGGGTAGCTCCTGAGGCACAGTGGAGTGGATGTGCCCGGTGGAGACAGGGCACTGAAAAACAGCTGAAATGAATATGTGCTGCTGTTGCATTAAGGAGCAGGGAGGTACCACTGAAACACTGGGGCTGGATTCAGAAGGTCTGTAGGAAACTCACTGCTTTCCTTTGCTAGGTCATATGAGAATAAGGTGTAGACTTCCCCATGGTGCGATCTGATCTGTGGCACTGTGACCCTAGTGACCACTGCAAAGGGGTCGCGTGCCTCACTTCCCAGACATTCCCAAAGGCTGGGTTTACTGGGATTTAAACCCCTGCTGTAGGTGCTGCAGGGGCTCTGGGTCACGCAGGAGGGTTTTGGCCACCTAGCCCTGCCCCATCGAAGTTACAGCAGCTTCCAGCTCTGCTCCTCCACTTCTTGATTTAATACCTCTGTCTGACTCTCGCGGGGATGCTAGCTTTCCTAGACTCTCTGAAAGAAGCAGATGAGGCTGGACGTGGGTCTGAAATCATGAGGTTCATTTCCTCACCCAGCAGAGCAAAATTCACAGCCAGTGGAGAGTTTCCAGCACAGCCTGGGCTGCTCTCACAGCCAACACGGAGCAGCTGTGCAGGAATTTGCTGCTACTCTGTCCCTTGCTTGTGCTGGTGTCCACCTTTCACAGCACCATCTGCCACCAGCAACCACCATCGCTGCAGCCTCGGAGATCCCCTGCCACCTCCAAGCCATGGTGATTCTGCTTTGTTTCCCCACAGGGGTTTTTAGAGTGATTTGTGAAGTGCTTGGTTTTGTCCACCAATTTTTGTTATGCCAAGTTTAAAAAACAGTCCTTTTTTCTTTTTTTTTTTTTTTTAGACTCATTTAAGGCTTGTCTACCTGAAAGAAATAACTTTTATTTTTCTTTTCTTTCCTTTTTTTTTTTCTTCTTTGCTTTTAGCAAACAAAATCTGAACCCTTTATTTTTTTCAGGGTTTGTTTTGCATTTGACTAAGCCTCAATATTTTCTATGAAGAATAACTTGATCATTTTTCCCACTGAAGGAAAATATCTCAATAGAAGCTTTCCACTGTGCTTCTCGACCTGAGTTTTCCACAAGCCACCTTCAGCCTTAGGTCTGTGCACTAGCCCTTTGCATCCACCTGTTGCAATAAAACACGGTTTATTTGTTATTTTGCCGAGCCATCAGAAGTGGGTCTTTTTTTCTAAAAACGGTTCCTTCAGAGAAGATCATATTAGACATCTCCTGGGAAGCTGTCTGTCCTGGCTCCCCCTGCCCAGGCTGCAGGCTTTGCAGTACTTCAGGAAGGAACATGAGCTTAGAGCTACCTTTTTTAGAGCCTTTTATAATGGATCCTTTTATGCCTGGCTCCATGTTCTGCAGCACACTGCTTTTATGGTTGTGCCTCCCTTACAAAACCGCTTCCTGACGTGGTATCCTACTGGGATTTGGTGGATGCGTAAAGAACACAAGTTGTCCTGCACCCCGCAAACAGCCCCAGGACACGCAGTTCTGCGTCTGCCCACAGCATCCTCTGCAGTGCCACCAGCAAGGGAAGAGCTGGGGGAGGTGGGATGTGGTGCCCCACATGCACAGTGATGTGTTGTACCCTGGTGCAACACCTGCAACTTCATGGCTCTGACTGACTTTGTTCAGCAAGCCCAGTAGCACTGTGGCTTTCTGACTGAACAATCTGCCAGCCGTCAGCTCCTTCCAGACCACTAGCAAGAACAGGCCATGTTCCCTGGAAGCCCCTTCCAGGGGAACCATGCTTTCCAGCGTGGTCCATGAGATGTCCCCTGGCCCCAGGCATTAATGAACTCTTTGTGCACAGTGCATAAGCAAACAGAAGTCCTTGGCTTTGGCAGATTTTCTGATTGCACTGAGTGGATAAAGATGAACTCAGTCAATAGGGTTGAGTTTATACAATGGGAAAGGTGGCCAGATCTCTGTGCCTGCTGTTCTCTCCACAGCTGATGGCCCTCTGCCCAGAGACCCAGAGGTTGGTGACTACATTGAGGCCTTTATTGCCTTTGATGGATGCAGGGCAAAGATGCTGCGGCAGAAGGGCCAGGTGGGAGCTTCCGCAGCCGTGTGTTTCTGATCATGCCCTGTGTTTTGTCTTGTAGGCTAACGATTCATGCAGAGTGCCCCATGCACCTGGAGGACTTCCCAATGGATGTGCATGCTTGCCCGCTGAAATTTGGGAGCTGTAAGTACCCTGATCAGTCTCTGCAAGGAGGTGGGTAAAGAGCTAAAGAACAGTCCTTTGTGTGGCTAGTGTTTTCCAGTATTTTAGTAACAGTGTTATTAATTATTGCTAATGATAATGTGACCAAAAATTTGTTTCTGGTATCTCATACATGCAATTCCTACCATCATCAGAAATGGGCAGCAAGCAAATCTGTGGTCAATTCAGATTCACAGGATGGGTTAGACACCTATGGTTTTGCTGTAAGTTTATCAGGGAAGTGGGAAGAGTAGCTTCCCGTTGCCTTCCCTGCCTTGAGTGGGCAGTGCTGCCTCAGCAGGACCAGCATTGGTAGAAAACTCAGGGATGCTTTTCCTTCATCACAAGGTGATCCTGGGGGGGACAGATTTGGGAAGATAGCAGTGGTGTGTGCTGCTAGCTGTCCTGTCCAACTTCCCTACATCACTCCTGCCAATCTGGGGAGAGCCTGAAATCTCTGGCTCCATGCTCCAATGGAGCTTACAAACCCCTTGCTCCCCTTCAGTCTGTCAGGTAGGCTGCTCTCAAGTAAAAGGCTTGGAAACTCTGGGAATCTCAGTCCTAAGACGCAACAGCCCTGGTTTAGGGAAGATTTGCAGCCTGCTAGTGAGTTGAAAGCTGCTCCCAGCCTCCTAGGCTTGCAGCTGCTCATCTGCCTGGGCTTCCCATACCCTGCTTAGGAACAAGTTCCCTTTTTGCTCCCATATGCAAGTTAAATTTCTTTTGGTTTTGTTCCTACAGTGAGTGGGAACCAAATTCCAAGCCACTGGTTCACCATAATGTGGAAATAAATTTCCTAGTCCCACTCTGCCTGGAGTCTCCTCCAGGTCCAACAAACGGAGCACCACTCTCAGTCTATGTTTGCGTTAGATGGAAGAGTTACCCACCTCCAACTAAAGAACGAGCCCCCACCAGTAATATTCCTTTTGGACTCTAAGAAAATGGAAAAATCACCTTTCTAAACTGATGCTTCCTTCCTGTAGCCATTTGGGAGTTAACTAAGGAGAAAGTTGAAAAGTTTGATTGACACCAGAAGAAATCATGTTTATCATGTGCATCTGCTCCTCTGCCTCATGACAAAATGCATCCATGAAACTGGATTATTCAAAACCACTAAAATAAAGTTATTTCTTAGGCACCACCTAATTAAACGTAGAACTCATTGCCACAAGACATCACTAAGGCCAGTAAAATAGCAAGCCTTAGAGAAGGATGAATTATTAATGTTAATTGACCTTGTGAGGAGGGATATTAAATCTCATACCTCAGGCCTAAACTCTGGGATTATTACAAGACTTGCAGGAAGGCAGGTTACTCCACATCTAATTGCTTATAATGTTTCTTGGTAAGGAAAGGAGATTAATGTGCATATTTCTGCTGAAACACCCTTTGGGGTTCTTCTGGGTATTTTTACTGATTTGGCCTCTGAATGATGAGAGTTTTGACACAAGCAGCTCAGAGCTGCCCCTGATTAACATTAGTACGGCTCTTTCTAAAGCACCCATCCGCATAGCATCTGAGCTCACCTCACCTCTGTTGGAGTAGGATTAAACTAGTGTTTGCACCAAAAAGCCGTCGACAGCTGGAAGCTGCTCATTTGCAAGAAGCTTAGAGTGGGTCAAATTTGTAAGTACAAGGACAATGCCAGGGCCAGACACATGCTGTTCAAAGGATAGCCGAATTTGCCTCAGTGACCACCTCCCAGTGATCCCCACAACCTGAATGGCTCATCAGTGGCCTCCTGTCCCACCATGACAGCTACCCAAAGAGGGAAGGCAGAGAGTTTGCAGGAGAGGTAAAGGCATCAGGTATTTCGGATAGCTTCAGCTGCCCACCTGCATCATTCCTTGGACTAAGTGCAGTGAAGGTGATGGCTTTACTTATCACCATGCTCCCTAGAAGATGGATGTATGTAGCAGAGAACTGTTTCTAAGCCAGTCATAAATGTCAAGGACCTGTCCTTGTTTGGATTGGACTAGACTGCATTGCAAGTGAGGCATTGAGCAGAACCAAAACAGCTTCATGGCATTAAATATGTTCCAAGCATCCATGCCATGCCTATGTGACACTAGATATGCTTCTGTCCCAGACGACCAGATATGTAGACAACTGCATTTTCAGGGATGATGGCAATGAAACTGTGGGCAAGTTTCCTCTGTAGACTGAGAGTGGCGGTTGGTGAACTATGACTGCTAAAGCAGAAGGTGCTGCCCATCAAGGGGGAAAAGCACTGGCAGAGCTGTAGAAAGCTAAGCCTGAAGGAGGATGGAGGTCTCCAGAAGCATGCTGAGAGCTGGAAGGATGGGTTGGAAAAGCAGAGTGTTGCACATCAGATGAGAGGTGCCAGCCTGCATTAGAAGTGCTTAGGCAGCACGCTGGCATGCTGAGAAACTTTGGCTGATCATCAAAACCACTCCTCCCACTTTGCACAGCACCTGCTTAGTATTTAACTGGTTTGCCAAAACCTACAGTGCAGGGGTAACAGTGGTTGTTTTAAAAAGATCAAAGAAGTCTGGTTGTCTCAGGACACAATCTTTCACAAAGCAGGAGCTGAGACATTTCTATAGTAGACCTGACCCATTGCTTGATCTGACCCCAGCCAAAGAATTCCTTAATGTCTTAATAGGAGAAGCTGGTCGTAAAAATGAATTAAAGACTTGTTTTAGTGAACTTTGTTCTTGCCTAAAAAACTGGTGCAGAGTGGGTATGGATAGGAAGCTTGGGCATTATGGGGAGAAGTAGCTTCTAGTCGAGTCTGGAGAGACACAATTTCTGGATACCATAGGACTGGCAAAACCAAGAGCATGCAGGCGCTGTTGGGAAAGCGAGTGGCTATGAGGACAAGCAGGGGTTTGGTCCCAAAGACTTGTGAAGGTGATGGTGACTGTGTGTGTTAGAGAAACGTGTTTGCATATGGAGAGTTGGGCAGGTGGGATAGAGAGGGGAACTTGCAAGGAACTTGGAAGGATGCCCTGGACCTAAGCCCGGCGCTACCCCACACAGCAGTCCAGCAGCACTTGCCTGCTGTTTCTCTTGCTTGTGCGGGCAGGCTTTTCTCAGCACTGCCCTCCCTCGCTGCCTGGCAGATTGGCCTGGAGGCTGGCAAACACAGGGTCATGAAGGGAAAAAAGCATCATGGTGGGAGGGCACACCACCTCAAAAGCTGAGAGGGTTGCTTCTGAGTGAAGGTAAAGATTTTAAACTTTTTCTCCTTAGCCTAAAATTCAACCCCATTTGCATTTAGCCTTTCTCACCAGCTGCTGCCGGGATGACTCTCCCAGTCCCTGGCATGGCAGGGCTGTGGCTGTCCTGCTGCCCCAGCAGTCTGCTGGTCTGGATGCCTTCCTATCTTGTTTCTGCTTGGAGCCAGCCCTTGCAGAGTCATCACGTCAAGGGTACAGCGTGTCTCTCAACGACAGTGCTCTGCCCCCTCTTCCAGCTCCCTTCCAAAAACCCCAGCTCCCTTTTGCTCATTTGATTTAACAGTTGCTGAACTGCCTTGGTCTCTCGCCATGCTTGGCTGTGCTCAGCCATGTGGCTCCAAGGAATGCACAGCAGGGATTAATTTGGCTACAGGCTAATTTTTGTGTGTGTGTATACTTATATAAAATATGTATATATAAAAATACATAAATATATATAATTTTGGTCAGACAGAAGCACAAACCTCATTCTTCTTTCTCCTCCACAGATGCCTACACAAAGACAGAGGTGATCTATACCTGGACACTGGGGAAGGATAAATCAGTGGAAGTAGCGAAGGGTGGATCTCGCCTGAACCAGTATGACCTGCTGGGCCATGTTGTTGGGACAGAGATGGTTCGATCCAGCACAGGTACTTGTGAGACCTCGATGCAGTGCATGGGCTGAGCACACTGTCAGACGAGATGGACCTGTGGGCTTTGAATGCCACGATTTGGCATAATTATAGAGGCAGTACCTGTGGACAGTGAGCACCACAGTACTTCCCAAGCCGCGTGCTGTTGGAGAATATGGCTGGGGACATCTGGAGCAGTCACCAAGAGGCAGTAAAGGGTTTAGCTTTTAGTGGTTTCCACTGAAAGAGCCTTATCACTCATATCCTCTAGAAAACTGATTTCAAGCATCTAAAAATGACCTGTTGTGTGGAAAATCTGCCCCACCTTGCCCAGCTGGTTTTTGGTACCGTGGGTTCATTTGTCTTGGATCCCTTTCCAGTCCCTCAGGAGAACATTGCGGGCAGGGGAGGCGAATGCAACATAATGTTCAATGTGATTTTCACTGCATCTGTTTACACAAATATTATAATAGCTAATAGAAGATTATTCCAAACAAATGTTTCCTCTGATTAATGACCAATATTAATCATCTTTCTCTCCCATCTGCTGCTCCTCCCTTCTCCTCTGAATCCAGGTACTGGTAGCTTCTGTTATCTCATGTGTGTCTTTCATCTTTCTTTTTTTCTTTTCTTTCTTTTTTTCCTTCTGTATGCACCAGTAGTTCTCTCATTTGAGGATATTTCCTCTCTGGTGCACTTGATTTTAATAGTGTCTGTCTGTAACAACTCATATCACCTCCCTTGGGGAAATGTGGGGAGTCCAGGGAACTAAATGTCATATCATCTGGCCCATCTCTCTACTTAAGTTGTAATAAAATGTACAGATGAATAACCTGAAGTGGCAAGAAAGCTGCTAAAGGCTCCTCTGTGTAATGATATAGCAGAGCCACGCTCAAACCAAAAAGGCACAATAATCCAACAAAATATCCAAAGCTGTGAGTGGGGGAAAAGGGCATTGAGGGAAAATAGCTGCTTCTTTGGTTTACAGCCCAGATCTTTAACAACAGAACTTGCCCTGATTTTTGAGATGGCTACAGTGAGGAAAGGTGGAATATTTTCAGGATTGTCAGAGAAAATAAAATCCTTTGTCCTGAAATCCTACTGAAGCATTGTTAGGGTCTCTCTAAGCTTAAGGGATCTTACCCACAATGTGGCTCCCTGGGCTGAACCAGAAAAGGGATGGGAGATGGGTTGGGAGAGACCCCAGAGGCATCTTGTGCCTGGAGTGAAACAGGGAAAGTCTATTGCCTGTTGTTTATTGGCATTGATTTGCTTTTGTCCCACAACCGTTTTACAGTGAATTAATCAAGTCTCCAGAGAAGTGTTTTGAAAGGACAAATGCTATGTGGAAGTCACCCAGGCTACACTGGGGCACATGCCTGGCATGGCACAGCAGTTGTGTGTACATGTGCGGGATGGGCAAAGTCAGTGCTGACAGTGTGCTGCATTCCTCCTTCGCATGGCTGTTAGGGTGGCCTGCAGTACTGTAAGATACCAGGGCATGCCAGCCAGTAACAATATGACACACATACTGCAATTTCATCTAAGAACTTGAAAGTTTGTTCAGGACAGATCTTTAGTGGTTTAGAGATGGATTGGTGGTCAACTGGCCCCATCTTGGAAAGCACCGGCGGCTCAGCATCTCTAACCAGCTGTCTCTGCAGGGGAGTATGTCGTCATGACCACACACTTCCACCTCAAGAGGAAGATCGGGTACTTTGTGATCCAGACCTACCTACCCTGCATTATGACGGTCATCCTGTCCCAGGTCTCCTTCTGGCTTAACAGGGAGTCCGTTCCTGCCCGAACGGTTTTTGGTGAGTCTGGGAGCATGGGGGCATCCTCTCAGGTCAGCGGAAAAAGGCACCACAAATGACAGGAAATAGACTGAGCATCAGAGCTGGTCTTCTCCAAGCCTTGACCAGCATCAGTGAAGCTGCTGGCCATTTCCCAGAATACCTCTCAGTGTCTTCGCAGTGCCCCTGCTTCCACTGAATCACTGCGAAAATACTCCTGTCCATGTTTCTGCTACAAGCCAAGACATAAATATTAACAGTAATCAAGGTATTGATCATCTAATTATATGCATTTGGCTGTGTCTACTTATCTATATCAGCTTTTGAGTTGAGGAGAGGATAGGTACATGGGGAGGCATTTAAAGCTCTACCTTTGAAATTGCTAATGTGCCCCTGGTCAGAGCTCCACATAACAAGTTCCTGGGCTAAGGGAGTATAACTGCATGGTAAATATATTGTTATTATTTTCTTCAGCTGGTTTCAGATCCTCTCTCTGAGGCAAAGTGTCAGGCTCACATTGCACATATATTAATAGCTTTTACAAACATTTAATAATAGAATTGCTTTGTGCTTTCCTGCCAAGACCTTTAGTTCAGGATCTACACACACATGCTCACAGACCAGGTGTGATGCTGCAGGATTGTATTTCCTGGAAATAACAGTGCCCAGCAGATACCACTTAACAGAGAATGTATTGGACAAAAGTCACCAAGCAGAGAGGGGATATATGGTACCACCTGCTTGTGTTTTTGAATAAGACAGAAAGTGGTATGTTTTCAAAGATCATGAAGCATTTTCTCTGTAGCAAGAGTCGTGATAGAAATAATCCCACGAACCCAACAAGGCTGATGTCCTCCTTTCTGGACCTTCTCCGCAGACCTGGACCTTGTTCCCGTGCTGTGGACTGGAAGGGACACAAGGAGGGGTCACAGGTGGTTATGCACCATCCTAAATTAACTAGAAGGGAATCATTATGGGTTTTGTGTTCACTGGGGTTTGTGAAATGTAGGTCATGAACAAGCTTTAAAATTTACAGTAGACCCCAGCTTCTCCCTGTTAGCACCAGGTTGCCTTCTCTTCCCCGGTGATGCAAATCCTATGGCGATCCCCAGGGTCGAGTGCAGCTGCGAGGAGCTGGGTGGTTAGTATGACCGAGCTGGTTTGCACAACCCAGACTGCAAGAGCTGTGCTGAACAGTGATAACAGTGAAGAAGAGGGATACGGCCCCTCAGCACCCACTTTTTGGTGTTTTCATCCAGCAGAATGGAAAAGGGGGGGCTCAGACAGAAATCACATGGAAAATAGGACCAGCTTAGGCATATAGAGAGTCATCGATTAACTTTCCTCACTCATCTACCTGTGAATCATTTGTAACTAAACCCCACAGAGTGCACACCCAGACCCCATGTCTGTCCATGCCCCAGGTGGGCTCTTACATCTGCATCGGTTCTGGAATGTCTGCACTCCCGACACCAGGGGTGAGCCCTTCTCTGAGGATAGTTGATTCCCTCCTATGTTATCCTGAGATTTGCAATTAGACAGGTTTCCTCGAGTAGCAGCTCAGATTGAGCAGGAAAGAGCTGACTGAAAAATTAAAACCTACCTTTGTGAAAAATGTCTTTGCTCCCAAATTGCCTTGCTTTCCTATTAAGAAACTAATGAGAACTCCAATTGTTTATTCCTTTTTTTTGCCCCTCAGAAAGTATTGTCAACAATATTATTGAAACTCTTCAATTACCAGGAGTATGGCTTAAGGGAAGTGAAAATTAGTCAATATTTTTATGATGTTTTTAATGCATTTTTAATTGAAAAGCACATTATTGGGGAAAATGGATAGCAATGGTTGCTTGCTTTAATGAAAAAAGCTTTACAAGGCATTTTGCAACAGATCATTTTTTTAAGATAAATCATAGTGACACTTCTTCTGGCAGCTTGGGCCACTGACAGGTGCCTGGCTGTGCTGGCAGGACCCAGGATCCCAGGTGTCCATCCATGCAGGTCACAAGACACTATTTCCAAAATGTTGAGAGAACCACATTGGGTGAGTGGCGAGTTTCTGGTCCTCCATGAAGTTCCCAACCATCTAGCTGTCCTTTTTACTGTTACTTTATTATTTTTATTTTATTACAAAAGCAACCAGAGGCTTCTCCATGACGTATTCTACATGAGGGAGCTGGGTCTAGCATCACGCAACTTACCCTACTAGCAGACAAGGAATTGAATGTGAGTGCCTACCTATGAGCTAGGACTCTTTTATAGTGAGCGGAGATCTAGTCAATGGAGTTTGGGGAAGATTAAGCTCATCCTAATGCAGATGTTTGCCATTGATTATATGAATTGGAGTTATTAAAAACTGAACCAGAGAAGGCCCTGAGCAACCTTAAGTTGGCCCTGATTCGAGCAGGGGTTGAACAAACTGACTTCCCTTCCAACCTGGACTGTTCGTTATTCTATGAATTGCACCACAGACTTGTGCTGGGTAAGACTCTCTTAATTACAGCGGGAATGTGGGCCACATGGCTTAGAGGATGGCTCCTAAGTTTACGTGATGGAAATGCCAACTGTGTGGTTTGAGGAGAAACTGGGTGGGTACGAGTGTATGGTCTCACACCATCCTTGTCTCCTGCTGTGTTTCCACAGGTGTCACCACTGTCCTCACCATGACCACACTAAGCATCAGCGCAAGAAACTCGTTACCTAAAGTGGCGTACGCGACGGCCATGGATTGGTTCATAGCCGTCTGTTACGCCTTTGTGTTTTCTGCGCTGATCGAATTTGCCACTGTCAACTACTTCACCAAGCGCAGCTGGGCTTGGGATGGCAAGAAGGTGCTGGAGGCCCAGGAGATGAAGGTCAGCCCTGTGGCCAAGGCCAGGGAGGAGGGGGCGGTGAAGAAACGCTGCACGAGAGAGCTGCACTGGGGCCAGGAGTGGGTAACATGCAGCCCTGCAGCACTCCGGGAGGCTGGATGCTACTTACTGGGGTCCCCAGCTCAGGTCTCGACTGGAGCGGTTCTTGAGGGTCAAGGGATGAAGGGCTTGGAGGGCTGGTCACTGTGCTTAGCTGGAGAAAAACACCCAGGCATGACTGCTCACTTTTCCCTCTGTCCTTCTGCATGACCATTTGCCAGTGGAAACGTGAATGCGTGCATTTTTTGGTCTCGCTCTGCCAGTGGTCTCCTCTCTCCTTTCTTCTCCCTCCAACCCATAAATGCCCTGCTCCATGTTGCTAGCATGCCATACAAACCCAGATATGCCACGGGATGCCAGCCTCGCCAATGGAGACAGTCCCACTCTGCTGTGTCTCCTGCGGTTGGTATCCCCAACTGTAGGTCTCCCCTGGCACAGGCAAGCATGGTGCAGCAATGGGGAGGTGTAACGCTCGTGCTGTTGCCCACAGCTGCCGGCAGCTGCTGCTTTGTAAGCTCAAGCCAAGCGGGTGGGTGGGAAGCAAGCAATCAGAAACGGCAAGTGGCAGTAAATTAGTGCCTGGCATCACCCACGTTTTCCCTTCTCACTCGGGATCAGCCTCTCTGGCAGTTTCCTTCCTGACAGCCACCGCTACCCCTGCTCATGCCCCCTCCTTCCTAACTGATTTAATCTCAGCTGTGCAGAGAAATCGCTTACTGTAGCATGCCACTCTTTGTTTATATTTATTGAATCAATTTGAGAATCAGCTTTGTCCTTGTTCTTGGTTCTGGAGCCTTTATATTTTACTCCTTTGCATTTTAATGTGTTGTTTAAAATTGTTGTGGAGCTGTATGCAAATACCTGGCAGAACTGCAGTAACTTTTGGGAAGACAACAGCCAGTCATCTCTCTGGTATGGAGGTCAAAGCAGGAGAACAGAGGCCTTATGGAGAACCACAGCCATCACTGCGTGTTGAATGCCTCCCTCTTGTGTTTCTTGGACTCCCTCTGCTTTTGCAGCTGTGGTCTGAGCAACAGACTCATGGCAGAAAGACTCCAGAGGAGGCCAGTTGATGGTCTTCCACTTCCATCATGAACAATAATGCTAATCTGGCCTCTAGAGATGAGAGAAGCCTTTCCCAGGTCATTGGCATGAGTGAAGGATCAGAACAGGTCCTCAAAGCAACTGTGTCCCTTTCAGGGATGGGCAAATCAGCACAAAGTCAGGATTCACAGAGCCTTGGGCAATTATGTGAACTGGGCACAGCCGAAAAAGCAGCAGAGGCTGCTTCAGTTTGTTATAGAAGAAGCATGGTCCTTAATTTATTCATTGACCCAGCACTGCAAGACTAACAGTGCTGAAACAATAGGGTAAGAGCATGCAGAATGTTTCTGCGCGTGGTAATCAAACAAGAAAACAAAGCAGGACCAGGAAGGAGTCCAAATTTGTGGATGCTTTTTCAAGCCAACCCTGATCTTTATCTTGGAAGGCTAACCCACTCCCGGTCTCTGCAGCTCAGAGAGCTCCCTGAAGAGTGGTGGGCTTTCAGGGTGCTTGGGAATATGATGTGTCACCATATTTGCCTTTCATCTTTATTCCATTGAATATTTCCAAGGAGTGAATTTGCTACTCAGTGAAAGTGCCTCATTGGCTCGGTTTCAGCCTTTAATTAGCTCTTCTTGAAACAATTGACAAGGCAGGTGGTTGAAACCACAAAACAAAGAGGAGGCAGAAGAATAACTATTGGCATTTTAAAGTGTTTGTACCATGAGTAAAACTACCAGTGACAAGCCCAGGCTGAGCCCTGGTCTCTGGAGAGACTTCTCCCCAGCCAAGAAGAATGCTCTTTTTTGATGTGATGGCAAGGATCCTCACTCCAGGTTTGATTGTTTCCTTGCACGAACATGAAAAAAAAAATCAATAAGCATCAGCCCTTCCCTCACCTCAAATGTAAACAGCAGCAATGCTTCCCATCCCATTTGAAAGAAATCACTACCTTGCAAAAGCTGCTGACAGGCACTCCCAGCGTGTTCAGTCTCTCAGAGCTGGTTCCGTTCTTTCTTTCTCCCCTTCAGCCAACCCATTGGTTTAGATGGGAACACAGAATTTTTTCACATACAATCTAACATGATGAGCTGATCTTGGTGAATTGCTATGTCTGCATCATAAATTATCATGATGATGTTCTGGCTATAGCCACAGTTGGGTTCTGGTTCTAGCTGGGAGTTACTCTGCACGTTCTCTGCAGTTCTTCTCTAATGAAAGGCAGGCAGTTATCACCATAGATGTGACCAAAAACTCCCTTTAGCATGCACTCTGATAAGATTTGACCAATGTTTCTTGGACCCAAAGATTTTCCAAGCCTTTCCTGCCTGCCACCAGCAATCGCTAATTGTGGATGAAGGATTTCCTCTCTTTTTGTATAGCAGAGTGGCTGCAACCAACCTAGAGGTGCAGATCAAATTGGAGAGAGGTATCTGGATCCAGTGTGGCAAACGTGTTAGTAAAGATGATTTTTAAAAAAAACATCATCAGGACAAAGGTGGGAGATGGCAGTAGTTGGGGAGGAATGAGAGACCAAAGAGACTGAAAGATGAGCGGTTTCAGTAGCCAGCAAAGCTCCCTATCTCCAGCATCCTCAAAATATCTTGTTAAAAGGATCCACTTCAGGACAGAAGGGCTGTGTCTGAACAGAGTGAGATCCACGGCATCCCATCCATCCCAACCATAGGGATGGCCATCTCTGGAGCGAACAAGGTCACTTCCTGAGCAGCTGGAGTGAGCCTCCAGAGAGACAATCATTAACAGTGACTTCGCCACTGGGAAACTCATGAAGTCTGCAAGGATGACATTTACCAGGGAGTTCCCTGCAAAAAAGTGTTGTCTGTTCCTCAGGATAGAAGATGCTTTGGATCTTTGGAAGATGCTTACTTAAGCCCACTTCCACCTGCAACACAATATCTATGCATAAAATCTGATTTAGCTCTGTATCTGTGCTTGTATGACATTGCCCTGAAATCCTGGGTGGCAAGAAGCAACAAAAACAATACAAGTAGCTGAAGTCAGACATATGAGAACAAGGAAGAACACACTTTGGATGGAGGAATAGTCCTGGATCTTTATCCTTCTCATCCTTTAGACAATAATCCTGTAGTGCATGGTGAGAAGGTTAGGTCCAAGCTTTTTATGTACTTTTCAGATGTCTTTTCACTGAGAGAAAGTCACCAAAAAGCATCCTCCAAACCTCTCCGTTGATATGATCATCATGGTTTTCTTTCTTGTATTTTGGAAGTGACGGGCATGCTCGCCATTTGCACGAGGTGCCTTTTCCACTGACTGAGTAAAGCCTAGCTTTTTGTCCAACCTACTCTTCAGCAAGTCTGAAGTTTGCCCCTTGATCCAGGTCACTTAGGAATCATTCTTCTTTCTCCTTTGTTTCTTTCCATTTGTGGCATCTTTGTTTCAATCCCTTCCTTGCCAACAGAGAGGAACTAGAACCAACCTTGACAGGCCACCATTTTCAACAAGTTTGAAGTCTTACAGACTCACGGGGTGGTTCAGACCCATCTGTTTTTTTTCTGCCTCACTATGGTAAATATATTTTTGCTGAGACTTTCCCTTGCTGACTATGCTCTGCAGCCCATGTGTCCTTTGTCCTACTGCACTTGCAATCACCTGTAGCTCTCCATAGCACTGCAAGTGATTTATGTTCTCAGCATCTTCACTAGAGTTCATGTATCATTCTTCGACAACATTTCACTCTCTTTCTCTCAACACTATCTGTGTGATGCGTTGGGCTGATTATTGACTCCATCCAACCTCTGAGTCTTTGTCTGGTGATCCAAGGAGCATAAGATCATTGGGCTCAGTCCCACATAATCTGAATGAAGAGATGGGAGGGATGAGTGATGCCAAAGGTTACACCAGCAGCTGACAGTAACCTGGCATTGACGTAGCCTGCTTGTTAATGCCAGATTGCACTGTTCGGAGCCTTTGGCTCTGGTCAGGGTACAGGTGTCTCAGTGTAAAACACTTTGCTGACATTCTCTGATAGGATCGAGTCTCTGGCACACTGCAGAAGGGAACTTTGGCTGGCATGAGGAAGGAGTGGCATGTTTGCTGGAACAGCAACTGCAGTTGCTGGGCTTTGTATTATAGGATACAACTGTGTCAGAGACTAGAGCTGCTTGGAGGTCATTAAAGTGACATTTCTCTAGAATGGCAAGTGGCAGATACCTTGCGTTTCTCAAGTACTGCAGATATTAGTCATGGTGACCTTCAGAGTGGCCTGTCAGAGGGATAGTGCTTCCAAGCCAAATTTCTAGCCAAGGACCAGGTGCAGAGAACTAAATCTCCAGCAGATCATAGGCGGAACCAGCAGTTCCCATAATTTAGAGGTTCAACCATTAGCTCCTCAACAGAGAGGCTTGAAGACAAGAATATTTAACAAAAATGCTATTATTTTCCAGTATGTGTGTTGTGGAAGAACTTGTTAGACTGCAATATCCAGAGAACATATTTATCTCTAAACCAGCTTTCACAGCTTTTCCCTCAGGAGAGCAGTGCAGGGACAGCTTTGTGAAGTGTTTCAGTCTCCCTGTGCCCAAACTGGGCCATAAACGCCGGAATTGCTTTGCAACATAGATGTTTTGAATAGGGCAAGTTTTCAAAGCAAATGTGGGGTTTCCTCCTGTTTTGTGGGGTTTCCTCCTGTTTTTCCACTCTTTCCTTCTGTTTCAGTAGGACGTGGAACTCCTCACAGATAAAGGTGCAGGGGGAAGGCTGGGGGCTACTTTGCAGCTGACAGCAATAAGCACATTTTGCTTTGTTTGATTGTCAAAATCTTCTCTGAAACACTTATTTATAAAGCACAGCCTGTTAAACTTCAGGCTGAGCCATTTCTTCTGACATCTCAGGAGCAGAGCACATCCAGAGCACACACATGTGCCTTGGTGTAGGCAGTGTGTGCTCTGGGTGCTTCCCAAAGGCTACCCAGGCTCCCAGCTCTGACCAGGGCAGAAGACCCCATAGGCAGCTGGAAAAAGGCCCTGGCTGTAGGCTCCCAAGCCTCTGCACTACCTGAACAGCCTGATCTGAAGTCCAGAGAAGCCCAAGTTGATGCCTGGGGGCTCTGGATCACACCAGTAGGAGCAGTAGCTTGCTATCACCACCCACAGCATTCATATTTGCCCGACTTTCCTCCGTTTCAGCCTGCTGTTTTCAGATGCCTTTGGCCAGGCAAGACGGATCCACTTTCCAAGCTCTGGAGCAGAAAAGCTAGCCAGGTTGAAAGTGTCGTGTCACTTGTAGTCATCTTATTCTTGTAATGAATAATGTGGCTGATTGATACTAAAATAATCACAGTGCACTTCAAATTACATTCTGCAAACAACAATCTGTTTTTCATTTCATTACTGATTATTAATTATTTTATTACCTCCTGTAGCTGTGTTAATAGGTAATCGTACTTAAGCATATTTAAATGTTTTAGAAGGTGAAAAATCTTTAGTCCTTTATTTGCTTCTTGTCAGCTCTTTAGCGGGAAAAGTTCACCTCCTATGCAGGGGGTACAAGTTAACATGGCTCTAATAATTGCAGAAATCAGTCGCTCAGTTAATCGTTAAAGATCATAACACCCTGTCCCATAAAAGACTATGAATATTGTCTGATCTGGAGTCTGAAGACATTTAGACCTCTTTCTAACAGCAAGTTAATTTCTGTAATTGCTGGCATTATTACGAGGCTGCAGGCCTGGCTATGATGTTATTGGAGAGGGGTTTAAAGATTGCACAGAAGTCTGCTTTTAGTGTCCCTCTGAAAATCACTGTGGAAAATTCATTTCCTAAGGTAACCAGAAATATCCATGGTGATTGTGGACACATTTAAAATGGAAGTACAGCATGAAAGCTAAAGTCCTTGGAGTATCTCTGCAGAGCAGACTGGGTGAATCTGGCCTTTCCAGCTCCCAGTGCTACCCAGTGATGCTGCCTGCTACCAATTTCCAGGGTAGGGTGGGGAGATGAACAGGTCCTGCTGGCTGCACACTCTCCCCTTCTCCTGACGGTCACTTTGTACGTGGTTCTCTCACACATACATGCAAGATCGTGCCAAGCACCCCTGGGAAATGCCTGGATGAGCCCTACCTTGCGTTTCAGTTGCTTCTGAATAGAAAATGAGATCCAAAGTCACACCTTGTTCTGAGTTTAGATATTAGATTCCCACCATGAGTCATTGCTGTGTCTAATGCTGGCTCTTGGTTTAATTACAGTGGACACCACATAAAGTACATGAGTGCTGGGACGTGTAGGGTGCCTGATGTCTGCATATGAATAGACTTCTTTCAGCGGGCTTCTCCTGGTAGACCTGGATTGCTTTATATGATATGGTCTACGGTGCAGCTGGTCTCAGGTCCCTGACAGCAACAGGAAGATCCCCAGAGTGGGGGCGACACCTATCATGACTTCCTAGCTCTGTCTTCCTGTCCGGTCATCTTCATTAACATCTGAACTGTCTGTCTTCAGCATCTTCCATCATCCTTCAGTACTGCATGTCTGACACATAAGTGCCTCTTTTGCCATTTGGTATGCAAGCTCTCCTCCCTTCAGCCTGGACAGCATGGCTGTCCCTGGAGCCTTGTGGGAGAGGTGCACTTATCTTCCTTGATTTACAGCAACCCATAGATATGAAGGCAAGATGAAAGGCTTCCCTCTGCCCTATAGTGCCATGTTGAGCAATCCTGAAATCTAGGGCTAGTGAAAATGCCTTCCATCTGTTCTGTATCTTGTCTGTGTAGGTCATGAGGTGCACTAAAGGGTCCCAGAGGCATTTTGGACATCATGATGTTAAATTGTGAGGTATTCCTGTGAGGTATTCGGGGCACTGAGGCCGTGTATGAGATGGCTTTGTAATATGGTGCAAAACTGTTGTGATGCTGTCACCCACATTCTTAAAGCCACTGGCTTTCTGCTACAAAAAAAAAAAAAGAACTATAATCCTCTGTGATGTCTCTGCCTCTCACCTGACACAGGAAGCAGGCCAGCAAAGCAGAAAATCACGTTCTTCCCCCAGGATGACCACATGGGGTGTCATTCTTTTCTAAAGACTACATTCCTGCATCGTCTCTCCATGGCTGAACCTTACATGCAACAGATAACACAGTTGAGAGAGAAAACAAGGAGTCTGTATAGTTTGAGCCTGCATTCACCTATACTGACCCGGCAATATGCAACATAGACCTGGCAGCACTCAGCCAATCAAGGAGTCACCCATCTGGGGCAGCTACTGATTGAGTGCAGCTGCACACACCTTTTTATACCACTCCTGTGATCTAAGGGGCTGCAAGGAGGCTACAAACCCAGCTATGTGGCTTCAGTTATTTGACTTGCAGCAGGACCTAGCTGCCAGGCCAGGACCTCTTAAAGCCAGGCTTTCTGCTACAAAAAAAAAAAAAGAACTATAATCCTCTGTGATGTCTCTGCCTCTCACCTGACACAGGAAGCAGGCCAGCAAAGCAGAAAATCACGTTCTTCCCCCAGGATGACCACATGGGGTGTCATTCTTTTCTAAAGACTACATTCCTGCATCGTCTCTCCATGGCTGAACCTTACATGCAACAGATAACACAGTTGAGAGAGAAAACAAGGAGTCTGTATAGTTTGAGCCTGCATTCACCTATACTGACCCGGCAATATGCAACATAGACCTGGCAGCACTCAGCCAATCAAGGAGTCACCCATCTGGGGCAGCTACTGATTGAGTGCAGCTGCACACACCTTTTTATACCACTCCTGTGATCTAAGGGGCTGCAAGGAGGCTACAAACCCAGCTATGTGGCTTCAGTTATTTGACTTGCAGCAGGACCTAGCTGCCAGGCCAGGACCTCTTTGTGCTACACGCTGTATGCCAGGCTTACATGAAGTAGCTGATCCACCCTAGTCCAGCACGTCCTTATGCTCCAGCAGCACTCAAGTGGCAGATGTCATAGGTTCTGGCCATCTTCTCACCACATCTTCCTTCCTTTCCACAATGCCACCTTCTTGGTCTCTTGCTCCTCGCACCCTTTTCCATCTTCTCATCCGGGCAAGCAGGTAAACTCAGAGGACAAAATGTTCTACGTGCAATTCTACAATCACTTCATCTCTATTATGTTTTTTCTTCCACCTTCTCTAGAAAAAAGAGCCAGTGGCACTAGCGAAGAAAACCAACAACACCTACAACATTGTTGGCACCACATATGCCCTCAACATTGCCAAGGACCCTGGCCTGCCCACCATCTCCAAGAGTGCTGCTGCCTCTGCTACTGCCACCAACGTACCCCCCAAGATGCCCCGCATAGAGGAGAAGCTCGCAGAGAGCAAGAAGACATACAACAGTGTCAGCAAGGTAGACAAGATGTCCCGCATCGTCTTTCCAGTCCTCTTTGCCATTTTCAACTTAGTCTACTGGGCCACATATGTAAACCGAGAGTCAGCTATCAAGGGAATGATCCCCAAACAATAAAACCGGTCACACAAACCTTCCATCAGTGAGCACCATTCAGGCAGGAATTCTCCAGGGCTTTATTCTTTCCTGTTTTGTTTAATTATTATTGTTCATTTGATATTATTATTATTAGATCGTTCTTTTATAATGTAAACAAAACTGTGATTCTAATTTAATCCCATATACTTTAGTTCCATTTCACTTTGTCTCTGATGACGAAAGGAAAAAAAAAAGGATCATAACAAGTTGTGCCTCTAACATCGTGAGTCTGATGTCCCCCATCTGTCCAAGTCACCCTGTGCTTCCATCTCTCCTCCTCCATCTCCTGCCGTTCCCACGGTCTGCATGCCACTGCTATTCCATGCTCCGCTCTACTGGGGGCTGCTGCTGCGGTCCACCCCCCTCCTCCTCTTCTGAGATGGACTGCCCTAGCATGGTGGATGCTCCTGGTGGCCTGGGCTCAAGGATGTGGAGGCCTCCAGAGTCAGTCAGTCAATCAGCCAGGCTGCTCTTCAGTGCCTGGTGCTTTGTGCTAGATGGTACTCCCCGGGCTGTGGATACAGGTGAGCTGGTCTGTTGAGGGAGTAGTGCGGCATGGGCCAGCTTGTAGCCCAGTGCCTGCTAGGGGTGAACCCACCACTGCTGTGGTCAGTGGAGCCATTGCAGAGGTGGAAAAGGGTGGCAGCATCTTGTAGGTATCTACAGGGCTTCTTCCTCTCTGTCTTCACCAAACACCGCTGCTGGTTTCCTCCATGTCTCTCCCCAGACAAGAACAGGTGAGAAAGGTCTTGTCTGTCTGCCATCCTGCACTCTTGGGGCAATTCATGTTAGAGGGTGGGGTGGTTCCTACCAGAGAAATAATTTTTCTCAGGGTCAGTCAGGAAGTCAAGACAGGAGCTTTATAATGCTTTGGAGGAGATAGTGGCTGTGAGGCCGCATGCATTCAGCATCAGGACTGGAAGCCACAGAGTTTGTGTTTAGATGGGTGGTTTATCACTTTCTCTTGGCCTCATCCACTTATCCTTCTTGGCATCTCCTCTCTGTCCCAGCCCCTTCTTCCAGCTCCCCATTCATCTTCCTTTGGCTACTTAGCAGCCCTCAGTAGTATCTCACTGCTCACGGGTAGATTTAGGCAGAGAAGCCCCTACCTCAGGTAAGCCACACTGATGGGGAGGAGCACAGCCCGAGGAAGTCCAGCTCATGGCACATCCCTGCTCTGGTGCACCAGAGCAGTAGTGATGTTGGTTCAGGCCAGCTCAGGTGCAGCCGGTTTCCTGTGGGACACACAAGGGGCCACTCTGCCACCTGTGGGGGTTAGTCAGGGGACAGTCGGTCCCCAAGTACCTCCCTGCCCCTGGTGAACAGATGCAGCTGAGCATCCTCAACACCATGGGAGAACAGCAGACGGGGCTCTTTGAAACAGCGGGGTGATACTGCTGTCACAGAGAGCCATGTGAGCCAGGTGCCATCCCACAAAGCCACTGAGATAAGACCCAACTCTAACACCTGCACACTCTTCCAAGGAAAGCCCTCCAGTACCTCGGAGAGAGGCTTTTTCTCTCTTCCCGTCCGCCAGAGTCAACGACCCAAACCAGCGGTTGTCCCCTTCCCAGCAGCAGCACAAGATGGTGGTATCCAAGCCATCTGTCCCCCCTCCCTCATGCCTGGACCCATGGACATACTGTCCTGCTACAAGGAAGGACATCCTGTGCCTGGTGAGTTCTCATCCCCAGCCTGTGGGCAGCACTGATCCTGCCAGCAGCCCTGCTCCCAGGGTGGGATGTACCCACTCTTTCCTGGGCCTCCCTCTGACCCTCTAGCTGTCCCCCCTGAGCTGCCCCCAGCACGTTTTGGGTGCATGCAGCCAGGCCGATGCCCCAGCACCCCCAAGATGATGTCTTCAGCATTGCTTTGAGCCGCTGTGCCAAGCTCAGTTTCCCCCTGCCCATGCAGGAGCAGGGCTGAGCACAAGGCACAGGATTTGCCCCACCTGGAATATCCATGGAGATGGCAGGATGGAGTGGGGAAGGCCAGGGCACTTTGTCCTGCAGCATGGGCGGCATCGGTGCATGTCCTGGCCATCCCTTACCAATCTTGCTGGCTCAACAGCAGTGCAGTCACTCCCCCTGCCTACAGCTGCAGTGAGGAGAGGAGCTCGGAGACATTTAGCTTGGCCCCCAGTGCATTCAGTCCATGAGTACATCCACACCAGCAGGCAGCATTGGACAAGAGGTGGCAAAACCCCCCACCACCACCATCCAATGCTAAGGAAACCAGCTCTCTCCCCATCCTCCCCCCCAGCATCTGCACCCCAAACCACTCATGACATTCCTACAGTGCCTTTCATCCCTGAGGGCTCTCCACTGGGTGGCGAGGAAGAAAAAGCCCGGGAGCTCTCCCCTTTTGCACCCAGCATCGGGTTGGAGGAGGAGAGGGAGGGTGCGCCATCCCCAGCCCCTCTGCCAGGTAGGGGGGACATCCTGGCCTCTTTTGCACCTGGGGCGCCCGGTTCCTCCTGGCACTGGCCGCCTGCTGCTGCTGCAGCCACCCTGCTCCAACAGCCCGGTCGCCCCAGCACTGCCCCGCTGCAGCCCCGTACCCCTCGCCACCAAGGCTCCCTGTGCTCCCTCCATGCCAGCACTGTCCCCTCCAGCAGTGAGTGCCATTGCTGCCACCCTTCTGCTTCCCAGGCTTTCCAGCAGGAAGTGCTACGCTAACCAGCCGTGAGGCTGTTTGTTTTGGAAACTACTTGGATGTCATTTTCTTAAATAAGCTAGATGAAGTGTATCTCATAAAACATTCATGTCACTATAATACTCAGGCCTAAGTGAATGAAATAGAAACCCTATAAAAAGCAAAACAAACACAATAAAATGGTAACAAAGAATGTATTGTGTTTACTAAGGGAATTACATCAAAGGCAAGTTTAAATATGGGATCCAGTGACTTAGCTGACATGAGCTGGGCCTGGCGCAGAGGTGCTCTCCTCTGCTAGCCTGGGCATTCCCCAAAATCCCCTCTATCCTGAGGGCCACGTCCTATCGCACATCGCCTCGCTACATGTTGCTGTGTCTCTTGGTGCCTGCTTCGTAGAGCTCTCCATAAACTGTCAGGTCTTACCATCGGCTTCTCAGCAGCCCGAGCACCTGCAAGCGCTGCCTTTGCTGCCCGCCTGGGGCCACTTAGGCTCAGTGCAGCAGAGTGATGCTCAAGGTGCCGGGACTGGACGATTCTGCAGTGCCGGGCATAGCATCAGGGCAGCATCTGAGCCTCCTCCCTTTCTGCAGATGATCCGATCGGTCTCACCAAACTGTCGGGGTAAATCTTGTGCCTGTCTCTTCCCCCAGTCCTTCCCTCCCTGTGACGCGAAGACTCTTGTCCCTCCCCAGGACACAGCCCACTGATCTGGCTTGCCGGTGCCACCCATCTGATGGCTCATCTTTGCTCTTCCTGACTCCAAAAGCTTTGTTCTCTGCCTGATAAAAGGCTGCCTTCTTGGATCTGTTGTAGCACGCCTTGAAAGCCAAGTCTATTCCCACCAAAGCCTGGCACTAGCTCTGAATCTTTTTGCCAGCTGGAAGCAGAAATACCGGCATCCTTTGGTTAAAGACAACAAACCAAACAGGATTTGTAGTTTGGCTTCCAAGCAGGGAAGCATTTTGGGAAGATAGTTATAAATAAGTGGTTTAACATCTCCTGCCAGCAGACATCACAGAGAAGATAATGTTCTTTTTTTAAAAAATCTGTCAGCGGCTTAAATTGGGACGTTTCCTTCCCAGCTAACACGAGGCTGCTGATGGGGGCCTCCTCTAAGGGCATGCTGGGCCAGAGCTAACCTAGCATCAGTTACTGGGGTTTGCTACTTGCTGTGATAGTATCTAAGGGCTCCATTTTTATAATTGGTCCTATATAGGAATAGATCTGTACATGGCCATTGATAGTCTAATCCACAGTTGTGCACAGAGTGGGCACTTCATTTTGCTGTGAACCTCAATACTCCAATATTTCTTTTCTTCTGGCAAGGCCCAAAGCCTCCCTGACTTGATGAGAGTCTCCCAGGCAGGAATTAGAAGTCTTTGGAGGTGATAAAAATGATCTGTTCAGTCCACGCTCCTGTTTCGTAGCTCGCGCCACCTGGGACACACACAGTGCAGCCCAAGCCTGCAGTTGCATTCCTCCTGAAAATGTCAGAGGGACATTTTGGCGCTGGCAGCTTGCCTCTTCCCTCCTCTGAAACCGCACATGGGCAAAAGCAGTGCGGCTTTCGAGACCTCCATGCCCCGGGGAGGTGGGGGATGGTTCAGCTGAGGTCCTCCAAGCGGGCAGGGGAGGCAGCTCGTGGTGGCTGCAAGCACTGTGTTAGTACTGTGACATTTCTTCAGGGTGACACGAGAGGGATGGGGGAGATGTGGTCCCTTGGTGCCACCCATTCTTCTAAAGGGCTGATGGAGTTACCCCCATACAACATCTCGAAAGCTTGTTGATCATCACTGAGCAGGACTGTGACACCCGACATAGAGCTTCCCGGTTCTCCTCCGTGCACCAAGCTCAACATATGCAAAGCTGGCTTTGCCACTCCCTAGGTTTACAGACAAGTGCTGTGGCCAACACAGCTCACCCCTGTCCTGAACTCTGCCAGCTCGGTGGCACTGGCAGGGTCCTAGTTTCTCTGCTGTAGGACATCCCCTGTGCAAGCAGACCCCATGCTTGCTGTTCCCAGATACAAGCCATGCATGCAAACAAGGTCATGACCAGCCTGTTTCTGGAGGCCTATCCTATGGACACAAGTTGCATTCATTTCTCATCTGATGCCTTGACTTCTTCTGTCCATATCTTGGATTCCTTTCAGCCATCCCTTGGGGAGGATTATAGGGCTGCATCACATACCAGGAAGGGGTTTCTCTTGCTCCAGATCACCTCGCATGGGAAGACCCTCTGTTCTGCTAAGGACCTCTCTGAGACCTTCAGAAACCTGGAGCTGTGGCCTCTCCCAGAGGGTGCTGTAGAAACGGACTCTT